CTCCGAATCTCATCCTCCATGTCATCGGGCAACCTTGCCCTTGCCTCATTATCACAGCTTCATGGATAGCTGGTTCTAGCATCTCCGTCCACTAATCTTAGCTCATGGAGGCTAGATTCGGGGCATCCACCATGGATGACTGTCCAATTCCTCGCATCATCTGTCAAAGGTGGATGTAGCACTGGGAGCCACGGGTTCCAGCTCACTGGCCATCGCTTGAAGCATCATTGATGTCACCATCCACCAACGGTAACATCTTTTGGAGTCATTAGTTACAGTATTTGGCGTAAATGGGATCCGAACTTGGAGCCCACTCTAAAGCCAGTCATAGTGCAACCTACTACTAGTTCTACCATCCCGCACCACCCATCACCACCTACCATGGCCATGCTGTCGCAATATGACCCGCTGCTGGTTCCATCACCCATGTCATGTGTTCCAATATTCTGAGTTGTTATTTCAACACCGTCACTTTCCTCGGTCACCATAGTCACATCTCGTAGGAACTAAGGTTTCATCTTGTCCATTGGCTGGTCACAACTATGCTGATAGGGGTTGCAGATTCTCCATCAAGGCTCATGCTCAAGTCAAAATTCCCTTTGAGATGTGGTCCCTGCGAGGTAGAAGGTGGATGCTTAGGTGGGGGAGACAACTAACATCTCTAATGGTAAGAGGCGGATCACATCTGCCCCTCCTCACTTCATGTTGTCTCCTCCATCCTCTAGAGGGCAGCACGAGCGCGGAGCATCACTCCATCACGGTCGCTCTCATCGCGTATTAGAGACGGTACTGTAGCAGTGCTGCAATTGACGGTGGTGAAAGGGCATCATGGTCGGCATGGTGGGAAGAGAGCAAAGGATAGGTGTGCTAGGATAGGGCATGCATGGTGATCAGGCAACAAAGAATAAAAGGAAAAGTGAGATGGAGGAAAATGATATTGTTTCTCGGTGGAGGATAACGAAAGAAAAGGAAGCTACGGCTCGCACCCACGATGTGACCCAGATGTTTGTGACTAGCAAGGACGAGATTGGTCAGCCGACTAGGAATCTTTTCCTATTATATAGGCTCTACATGATTAAGGATCATTTGGTTTACCAAGTGGACACATATTTTTCATGCCAGACCTTCCGTAAATAAAACAAAGATGACCAATGAACATTGTAAGAGGTTTCTCCTTTTAGGAATTAAAAAATTATGTAGTTATCTAAGACAAATATCATATTTCTTTTGTCTCACTTATGTTCATTTCTTTAGTTAATTTTATAATTGTATTGCAGGCCCAGAAGCAAGAGGAACTCCCTGAGCAGGTCCTTTGTTGTGTTAGGTTGAACAAGATAGACTTCATAAATCATGGGCAAGTTCCAACGATTGTCACATCCGATGATAAGTGATATACTGGATTGTAGCGGTTGCCTTGTTGAAGTTGTTGGAAGGCTAGATATGAAGATCTAGAGGAACAAAACAGAAATCAAAATTCTATGAAAATTCCGCACCTCATGTGTTCATTTATGCCTAATATATTTGCTCTGTTGCCTGCTTTCATAGGTAGGGACATTTTTGATACATATAATATATAACTATAGCAGCAAAACATGTGAACTTCTCTTGTTTCGTAATGTTTTGGCAAGATAATTCTTAAACAATTTTTGTAATGACGCATATGATGTACCTTATAACAGATATTGGTTCGGCACAATATTTTCTTGTAAAACACTTCTGATGTAGGATGAAACCATAGGTGGAGATCTTCTCCACACTTGCAGGTGGGGAAGGAGAAATCAAGAGTAGAATCCAAGGTCACACATTCTACTAAATCCACATACACATACAAGATTCAAGATCCAAATCCAACAAAAGGAAATAGCATAGGGTAGTTCTTCCCAATCCCTAGAGGAATTGAGGTCTTGATGATTGTCTTCTCCAATCCCTAGGGGAGGAGGTCTTGATATCCACTTGGCGATCTTCTCCTAAACGAGGCCTTGATGTCCAAGAGGAGATGTAGATAGGAGAAAGCTGTCAAGATCTCATGATGATAGATGCGAAGGTGTCCCGATGTTTCGATGAGATAGCTATCATTTTCTGTGGGAGTTGACTTTCACGATCCCACTACAAACGTCCGAAGACGTCACGCCTTAGCAATCGCTAAACCAACTTCCGAGGGGCTATTGACCATGACGGAGCAAAATCAACCTTACCACGAGGGTTTATTTCCTCCGAGCAAATGAAGAACAAGCAAGAAACTGAGATTGAAATTTGGATAGTGCGAATATAAGAGGAAAGCTTTATTAATGAAGGTAGGGTTCTCTTACGTCTTGGTCTGGTCGTTGAACACAAATGAAGTACGCAAAGTTGCATCTATGGAAAACTTTTAATCTAAAGAAAACCTAAAGTCTAAACGACGCCCTAAGGGCTGTATATATGGAGGAAGAGGGGGGAGGGAATTTTGTGGCCCCTTGTAGGAGGGGTCCAAAACCAACCCTAACTCTCTTTTCCCCACAGATACGAACTCTATAAATAGCCTATACTTCTGTATTTCGAAATTACATGGGCATGGCACCTATATTAGCCTCTAGACGAAATTTATGAAGTGGCATCTCATATATTTCTTCCAAGGCTTCATGCACTCATTAGGGTGGCTTCAAAGTTCTGAAATCATCACTTGTAACTCTGCTCTTGTTCCCCTTGTGGATGCCATCATCTCCATGCTTGATCTTGCTCCAGTGTTCATCCTTCTTGTTGAAGCTAGGCCCTTAATTTCTAAGCAAGACAAATGTATCCCATTTAGGCAGCATCATATTCTCATGAACATTAGAATCATTACCAAGAAACGAAAGTACCTGGTAATTTAGTTGGCATGCACGAGCTCTAGTAATTGGTCCGGTATTTCTAGTAGTAGGGGCTGTGGGTGTAACAATGGTATTGATGTCCTCATCATCCTCCCCTTCTTGAAAGCAAGTCGTCCTTGACGGAAGCTCATCTTCCTCACCCAAATAAGGCTTGAAATCTACAATGTTAGAAGTGGGACTAACCCCAAAATCTGCAGGCAACTCATGTTTATATGCATTATCATTTATTTTCTCCAACACCTTAAAATGACCATCAGCACATGGCATTAGCTTTGATTTGGGCAAATAAGGAAATCTATCCTTAGGCAAATGTAACCATGGAAGATCTCCTGGTGCAAAGACAACATGGTTTCTACCTTTATCTCCAGCAAGTTTATACTTAGCATTCATACACTCAATGTTTTCCTTAGTTAACTCATGCATTTTTAAGATCAACTCAGCACATTGTTTAGCATCAAAATTAACCTTCTCCGAAGATGGAAGAGGCAACAAATCAAGAGGTGCACGAGGTAGGAAACCATATACAATTTCAAAAGGGCACATCTTAGTTGTAGAGTGCAGCGAACGATTATAAGCAAATTCAATATGAGGCAAGCATTCTTGCCACATGTTCTTGTTATTCTTTGAAACAACCCTAAGCATAGTAGACAATGCTCTATTGACTACTTCAGTTTGTCCATCAGTTTGGGGATGACAAGTAATACTAAAAATCAATTTAGTCCCCAACTTAGCCCATAAACATCTCCAAAAGTGGCCAAGATATTTAGTATCACGATCTGAAACAAAAGTATTTGGCACACCATGCAAGCGAATAATTTCAGAAAGAACAAATCAACAACATTAACAACATCACCTCTTTTATGACATTGTATAAAGTGTGCCATTTTTGAAAGTCTATCCACAACAACAAATATGCTATCCCTCCCCTTCTTTGTTCAAGGTAATCCTAAAACAAAATCCATAGATATATCCTCCCATGGAACACTACGTATAGGCAAAGGCATATATAAACCATGAGGATTGAGTTGTGACTTAGCTTTTGACATGTACTGCAGCGAGCAACAAAACGCTCAACATCTCGTCTCATCTTTGGCGAAAAGAAATGTGTAGCAAGTAAGTCCTCCATCTTCTTCATGCAAAAGTGTCCCAGTAATCCTCCTCCATGCGCCTTCTGCAATAACAAAAGACAAACGGAGATAGATGGAATGTAGAGCTTGTTAGCACGAAACACAAACCCATCGTTAACGACAAACTTGTTCCATGTTCTCCCTTCTTTACAATTATGCAATACATCTTTAATTCAGCATCATGCACATATTGTTCTTTGATGGTCTCCAAACCAAATATTTTAAAGTCAAGTTGTGAAAGCATAGTATAACGACGAGACAATGCATCAACAATAACATTTTCTTTATCCTTCTTGTGTTTAATGACATCAGGGAACGTCTCAATGAATTCAACCAATCTAGCATGTCCACGGTTCAGTTTTGCTTGACTTTTGATGTGTTTCAAAGATTCATCATCAGAATGTATAAAAAATTCTTTCGGCCAAATCTCACAAAATTCTTACTTCAATTCCCTGTGTGCCGTTTTGGGCTGCGGCCAACTCTCAATAGCGAGTCCAAACCAGCAAGTCCAAGAAAACTCCTCACTTGTGTGCCGTTTTGGGCTGCGGCCAACTCTCAATAGCTTCAATCTTGGCTTTATCAACTTCAATTCCCTATGAAGTAACAACATAGCCAAGAAAATATACTCGGTCAGTGCAAATGGTGCACTTCCCAAGGTTACCAAACAAACGTGCATCACGTAAAGCAATAAAAACAACACGTAAATGTTCCAAATGTTCCTCCGAAAATTTGTATAAATCAGAATATCATCAAAATAGACTACCACAAATCGTCCAATGAAAGCACGTAAAACTTCGTTCATTAATCTCATGAAAGTACTAGGTGCATTTGTTAACCCAAATTGCATGACTAACCACTCATATAATCCAAACTTAGTTTTAAATGTTGTTTTCCATTCATCCCCAATTTTATATGAATTTGATGGTATCCACTACGCAAATCAACTTTGGAGAATATTGTAGAGCTACTCAATTATTCATCAAGCATATCATCTAGCCAAGGAATAGGATGACGATAATGAATAGTAATATTATTAAGGCCACTACAATCAACACACATACGCGATGTACCATCCTTTTATGGCACTAGAATAATAGGAACAACACAAGGACTAAGGGATTCGCGTATATAACCTTTGTCGAGCAGCTCCTGGACTTGACGCATAATCTCCTTCATCTCTCTGGATTTTTTGGTATGGTGCACGGTTGGGTAGCGATGCACTGAAAATTAAGTCAATCTGCTGCTAAATCCCTCGAATAGGTGATAATCCCGGTGGCATGTCTTGTGGAAAGACGTCAGCAAACTCTTGCAAAATGTTAGTGACAACAGGAGGCAAAGAGAAAGGCATGTCCTCGAATGAAAATAATGCCTCTTTGCACACAAAAGCATGGCAAACAGATTTGTTAAAATCTAGCTCATCAATATCAGATTTATTGGCAAGTAAACATGCACTTTTCAATTTAATTTCAGAAGCAACACTAGATGGTTTATTATTAGGCTTCATTTGTTGCTCAAATTCTTTTGCCACAATCTGATTTTCACTCTTATTTTCTCATGTTTTGCTTTATTAGCTCTATTAATATCATCTTTCAAAATGTAATCAGGAGACATAGGAAGCAAAGTAAAATGTTTATCCTCATGAACGAGAGTATACTGATTGTTTCTACCATGGTATACAATTTTTTTATCAAATTGCCAAGGTCTACCTAGTAATAAGGAACATGCTTGCATGGGTACCACATCACAATCAACATAATCAACATATGTAGAGATACTAAAATGCACACAGGCAGTACGTGTTACCTTAACCTTGCCGCTGTTGTTGAACCATTGGATGTAGTAAGGATGTGGATGTGGTCTTGTGGTGAGAGATTGCTTCTCCACCATCTCCATGCTAGCCAAGTTGTTGCAACTCCCTCCATCAATGATGACGTGAACAGAATCTTGCTTCACATCTCCCTTTGTATGGATCAAATTATGCCTCTGATTTCGCTCAGCTTGTGTGACCTGCACACTCAAAACATGTTGAGCAACTAAACTTTCATACATGTCAGCACCTTCAGTAGCCATGTATTGCGTCTCCTGATCAGAATCATGTCCACCGTGTTCTTCACTTGTAATAAGAGCCAAAGTCTCCTCATCATAGTCACTAGCGGACTCATACACACCATCCTCAGTAGCAATCATAACAAGTGAAGATTGTCAATATCTCGCATGATGACCTCTTCCCTTACAACGACGACAAATATTATCATGTGTGTGCCCTATTGATGCCATGGACGAAGAAGAGCTCTAGGCAGGCCCAGAAGGTGTATTCCGGGCAGGTGGTGGTGGTGGTGCATGTTTTCTTGTATCTTGTTTGGAATTGGTGGCCGAAGTCAGTGGTGCTGCAGTAGGACGTGTGGGAGTAGAGGATGT